AAAATTTTGACAACAAACTCTTTGGCAAGTTTGTAGGAAACAGTTTCATGCATACAAAGTGGTACAGCCTCCAGAGGGAAGATTTTTACATTACTAGCAAAATTACAGATACATTTACCATTTGATTCATAAATCCTACTTTGTAACATTGAAATTCTTAAAATACACCAGCATTAGTATGGAATCACATAGATACAAGGGTTTGTGTGTGTTTTATCCTTCTCCTGAGTTTCTTAAATCATATTTGGTTGTTAAAGCAAAAATTATATCACCATCTAATGTGGTGCTAAATGTATGTAGAGGAAATACTTAAGATAATTGTATAAGAGAGTAAAAGAACCTAAATGGAAGTAAGGTTTCTGTATTTCACTCAAATTGGTAAAACAGTAACATCAATAGACTATGGTAAGTTACATAAGTATATTGTAATACCTAAACAAACTGTATCAAGTGGTATACTCAAAAACAATACATAAATCAAAATGAAACTCTAAAAATGTTCAAGTAACCCACAGGAAGGTAAGAAAAGAGAAACAGAAGAATGAGAAATAGAGGGAACAAACAGAAAACAAATAATAAAATAGCAGACATAAGCCCTAACATATCAATAATTATCCTAAATGTTATTGGTCTGTATATACCATTAAATGACAAAGATGGGCAGAATGATAAATAAACATGATCCAACAATAGGCTGTTTACAAGGAACTCATTTCAGATTCAACAGCATACATAGACTGAAAGTAAAAGGACAGAAGAAGTAAAATAGCAAAATTGAAATCTATTTGATTTTTTGCAAGCTTTTACTAACATTATTTATAGTGAGCAACAGTTTGTACCAAATTACCATGGATAGTGCAAATTCAAACTTATTTTTATTTTCCACCAAAGCTCTCAATACCTTTTTAAAATAAACTTTTATTTTAGAATAGCTTTATACTTTCTGAGAAGTTGTAAAGATAGTACAGCATTCTCATAAACCCCTTACTTGGTTTGCCCTACTGTTAACATCTTAGGTTACTATGGTACTTTTGTTTCAACTGATGAACTTTAATACATTATTATTCACAAAGAAGACAGATATTTATACATTTAGGAAAAAATGTTCAAGTAATTCACAGGAAGGTAAGAAAAGAGAAACAGACATCTCACATTTATAGAAGAAGAAGAAAAGGGGGCGATAATTCCTACCTTAGTGTTATTCTGGTTAAGAATATTATTTATAGATTGCATACTATGTGCTTGTGGTTATGCCAGTCACTGAGGAATACAAAAGTTGAATAAAACAAAGCCTCTACCCCTGAAGACCAAATAGTCTTTGGGGTTAGACAGATGTTACCTGGGCTGGGGGGTGCAGTGTAGAGAGAGCTTCTGGGAGGACTAATAGTAATCAGTCACGCGACAAAGAGGGAAAAGGATGTTGGCAAGAAGGAATGCATAAACAAAGGCAATGAGATACAACAATAAAACAAAATGTTTTGGTATTTTTGGAGGAAAGGGGTAAATTTGAACTTGAATGTGTTTATGGACTGGAGAAGTGAGCAGGGTGGGGCACTGGTGGTTCAGTGGTAGAATTCTTGTCTTCCATGCAAAGACCCTGGTTTGATTCCAGCCAACCCACCTCATGCGAAGCCACTATTGGTCTGTCATTGGAGGCTTGTGTGTTGCTGTGATGCTCTCAGCGGAGTCTGACAATCTGCTTTGAAAATCAGCCAGTGAAAACCCCATGGATCACAATGGTCCAATCCACAGCTGATCGTGGGGATGGCTCAGGACCACGCAGTGTCTTGTGTTGTGCTTGGGGTCACCGTGCGTTGGGGCCAATTTGATGGCAGCTAACAACAACAACTAAGGAGCTAGGATTTTATCCTGATATCAGTAGGAAGCCACTGATAGGTGGTGGAATAACCATTGGATTTGCATTTTAATGATATTTTCTAGAAACAGTATGAAATAAGGATTGCTTCTCTGGAGGCAGAGAAAACAATTAGAAGTTGATTGCATTGTTCAGATGGTGAGGATGACAGATGATAAAGACTTTGAAACAAGGCAGTGGTATTAGGGACATAAGAACAGGACAAATTCAAGAAATATTTAGGAGGTAAAATTGTCAGAAATTGGTGATAATAGGATGTTTGGAGATGAGAAAGAGAGGACTATCTAGAATGAATTTCCAGTTTGGGGTTTGTGGAGCTGATTGAGTAGTGGAATAACTGGCATAGGGATGCAGGAGGAGGAGCAAATCTGGGGGAAAAAGAGGATGAGTTTAGTTTGGTCTCATTGAATTTGCTATATAATTGGATTTTGTGGGCAGGCCCAACACTCTGTAGAGGGACTGTTGTTGTTAGGTGGCCCTGAGTTGTTCTTTGACTCATAGCAACCCCATGTGATGGAGTAAAACTGTCCCATAGGGTTTCCTCAGCTGTAATCTTTATGGAAGCAGATCACCAGGTCTTTCTCCCATGGAGCTGCTGGGTAGGTTTGAACTGCCAACCTTTGGGCTAGCAGCTGAGTGCTTAATCATTGTGCCAAGATCTGGGGATACACATATATTGTGAAGATTCAATGTCATAGAATAGATACATAGCACAGGAAAGGCTATGTCCGATTTACTCGTTCATTGATACACATTATGGTGTGTTTTCTGCTGTTAACGCTGTTAGGAACCTGTTGCAAGTGATAGAAATCCATTTTGAATCATCTTAGGCAAAAGAGTATCGGTTCACATATAAGTGGGAAAGGAAGTACAGAGAGGATGTAATTTGTGGCAGCATCGGGGGAGAGGTCACTGATATTTAAGAATCTGGAAAATAGAGAAACCAGAGCTAACTAACTTAGCAGACCAGAGAAAGCTGAATTCTCTCAAAGTCCAACAGCCAGAGACTACTAGAAACACATCTTTTAGAGCCATAGTTATGTTTATTTTGTTTGCGGCAGCACGGGAGAGCACACTCCGGAGGAACTCTGGGAGCATTTTAGTAAGCGGAATTGGAAGGACTTCTTATAGGATGTGGGCTTGTGTTGCAGGATTCTAAGGAGGAATAAAGGAAATGGGAGCCATCTCTGGGTGGGATATGGTTAAGAAGTGGGGGGGATTTCAGCATTGGGTATCTCAGAATCTTCAGGAGGCTGAAAGAGCAAAGCCAGACCAGGGATGTCATCAGTAACAAAAGCAGCAATCACTTAGAAGAAAAGATTGTTAAGTCATTTTTTTTTGCAGCTGTGGTATGGCCTTGTATAGAAATATTATTTACATGACCTAGTCCATTCCATTGGCAACATTGCTTATGTTCTGTTAGGAATAACACAGTCTGATTACCAGCCCAGCCGATCTTCACTTTCTCAAATGTAACTGCTTGCAGGAAGGTGATTCCAAGAAGCACACCAATTTTTACAGCAGAACCCTGGAAAGGCTCAGATTAGAAGCAATAAATGTGGATATTGAGTAGGACTGAAAACATGAGAAATGGTTGGAAGTCTTTTTAAGAAGCCGGTTAGGCCCCTGCATCTCTTTCTCCAGTCTACGTAGCCAGGCTACTTCTCCCTATCCCAATAGAAGATGGAAAGATTACTTTTTAGAGAGGTTGAATGAGAGACTCTGGATTTGGGAATACGAGAAATAGTGAAGAAAATGGAGGCCCTACTGAGCACTGGAACTGAGGGAATGTTTGCATAGTCAATGCAAACATAGTCAGTGCTCCAGCCTCCTTCCCTGACTCAGTTTACAGAGGCTGACTTTCAGGCTTAGAAAAGATATGATTCCTCTTTTAGGAAATGAGTTAATCTGAGGAAAAAGATTTACAGATACTGACAGTAGGGAATGTGGGCTGTAAGGGAAACGTCTGTGTCCAGGCCTGATCACCCTACAGTGAAGCCCACCACTTAGCTTCCAACTAGCTTTTTAGCGCCTTACTTTTAAATATGGACTCCTTAAATAAGGGTCATGAGAGGTTTGGAAAAAGCATTTGACGTGAAAGAAAAAACAACTATTAAAAAAACTTAGATTATTAAGCTTTACACCAGGAAAATAAAGGAAGGTTAAAATGGCAAATAAAGTGTTTTATATAATTTTACAACTATAACAGCAGCCAAAAAAAAGAAGAAAAAGCTGCACCTGTTGATACTACTCAGGTATGACTAAACAACTAAACACTTCATGGGGTTAGTTATCTTGGTTTGAAGTTTTAGGGTCATGGTTTCGTGAGTCTATCCAGTCAGTTAGCCTAACATTGTTTTTAGAGTTTCTCTTCAAACTCCTAGTTTGGTGAGTAGTGCCTGGGGACTTAACGTCTTGCAAGCGGCCACCTAAGATACAACAATTGGTCTCTGTACACCTGTAACAGCTGAGAAAGAAGGCGATTGAGGAATCAGAGAAGGAAATGGACTGCAGGTTTAATTGCTTCCATAAAACTACTGCCTCCATTGCCATGAGACCAGAAGAAATGGATAGTGCCCAGTTACTGTTACTGAAAGTTTTTTTTTCTTTTTATTGTTGTGCTTTAAGCAAAAGCTTACAATTCAAGTTAGTATCTCATACAAAAATTTATACATACGTTGTTTTGTGACCCTATTTGCTCTCCCTATACTGTGACAGCACACTCTTCCTTTCCACCGCAGATTTCCCCTGTCCATTCAACCAGCTCCTGACGCTCTCTGCCTTCTCATCTCGCCTCTGGACGAGAGCTGCTCATTTAATCTCATGTATCTGCTTGAGCTAAGAAGCACGCTTTTCACGAGTATCATTTTGTGCCCCATAGTCCAGTCTAATCTTTGTCTGACGAGTTGGCCTCGGGAATGATTTTAGTTTTGGGCTAACAGAGAGCCAGGGGACCACATCTTCCAGGGTCCCCCCAGTCTCAAACCATTTAGTATGGTCTTTTTACTAGAATTTGAGTTCTGCACCCCACTTTTCTCCTGCTCCATCAGGGTCTCTGTTGTGTTCCCTGTCAGGGCGTTCATTGTGGTAGCCAGGCACCATCTAATTCTTCTGGTCTTAGGCTGATGAAGTCTCTGGTTTATGTGGCCCTTTCTGTCTCTTGGGCTAATACTTTTCTTGGTGTTCTTCATTCTTCTTTACTCCAGGTGGGTGGGAGTATACTGAAAGTTTTGATCAAGTAACCAACGGATGGATCCTGATCAAAAGGAGGAAAAGCATGGAACAGAACTTCAAACTTAGATGAAAACTAGACTTAACGGATCCATTGAAATTGGGAGAACTCCTGAATCTAATGCCCAGAAATAATCTTTAAACCTTAAACCAATACTATTTAATGAAGCATTGTTAAGCTAAACAAAAGTTTATCCCAGTTAATAAATCACATTTGCCTTGAGCAAAGGACTCGTATAAAGAATTATCTGTGAGTTTAAAATGACAGCAGTTAATGGTGACCAAACGATGAGCAGAGATGGAATGGTGACACAATGTGAAGTGAGTAGCCAATGTCAGTGAACTATTCATGTAGAAATTGTCAATGGATGTATGTTTGGTTATATATTTTGCCACCAAAAATAAAATATTTTAAAAAAGGAACTTGGGAGAACAGAGACAATATAGAAGAAGATACTGAATCTATAAAATAAGAAAAGGATATTCTAAAAAGGAATATTCAGAGATTGTAAGGAGAATTTTTGTAAATTAAACGTGTTAGCTAAAATAAAAATAGCAGCTTTGGAAGATAAAGTTGAAGATGTCTCCCTTAAAGTAGGAAAAAAAGAGCTGAATAGGAGGGAAGATATAAGGAAATAAGATCATTTGAGCAGGTCCAGTATTCAAATAAAGGAATTCTAAAAAGGCAGAACAGAGCAAAGAGAGGACAGGAAATAATCAAGGAAAAAATACAAGAAAATTTCTTAGAACAGAAGTGCATGAGTCTCCAGACTGAGTCTACTGAGTGCCCAGCTAAATGACTGGGGAAAAAAAAAAAAATCCCACACCAAGGCGAATCATTGTGTGACTCCAGAGAATTAGAGTTAAAGAGAAGATTCTAAAAGCTCTGGGGGTGGGCAGGGAACAAATCACATACAAGGATAGGAAAGCTGGACCACAATGAAGCAATGCCTTCAAAATTCCAAGGAAAAATGATATCCAGTCCAGGATTCTAACCATAGTGTGCTAATCATACTATCAATAATCAAACGTGAGGGTAGAATAACAAGCAAAGCTTCAAAACCCTTGCCCCAGTGTGGTCTTTTTGAGGAAGTTCTGGAGAATGAACTCCATTCAAACAAGGCTATGAATCAAGAAAAGAATATTGGGGCCCCAGTAACTAGGAATCACAACACAAGAGAAAGTTGAGAATTCCCAGGATAATGGCAAAGATAATTCGTAGAACACAATAATGTAGCAGACCTAGACTATAAACAGCTCAGATTACAGCAGGAGGAAGGAGGGCTCCAAACATGTTTCCAAGATAAGTAGAGTGCCTGATATTTTTGAAAGCATCAAGAGGAGATTTACACTTCTAGCATAGAGCTTGGAGTAAGTTAGAAAATTAAGCCAAATGAGGCACTTATTAACTCCAGGAAAATTAAAAGTATAGAAGAAAGGAAATGGCTCAGATGAGAGTAATATTTATAAAGTTATTAAAATATAAATACGAAATAGTTAGCCAAATAAAACTGTATAGGGAGGAAGAGTGAGAGTGTGTGTGTGTGTACGTATGTGATGGGGGTTGTTGTCTGTTCCCTAGAAACAGGTAGAGATACAAGAGGGCTAACCCTCTTAGTCTAGAGTAGGATGTCAAGAGAAGCTATCTAAACTTGAAAATTCAAGAAGTTCCCATATAATCATGTTGTTTAGAAATGGGAAGGGAAGTATCAGATGATACAGCTGAAAGAGTTGGAGGTGATTGCCTTTGAGGGGCAGAAATTGGGGGTGGGGAAGGATGGAAGAAGGGACCGCTGTTATACATTACAAGCTTTATTAAATGATTTGACTTTTAAAAATATGTACACATATTACTTTGCTATAAATCAGAGAGTGCATGAGTGAGCTCAGTCAGGACCTTTGTTATTATTTAAGTAGGGAGTGAATTAAGAATGGAGCTCAATGAACATTCCAAGTGTCCTACAAATGACTGAGAAGTTTCAAAAAGTTGTTTATGACACTTCAGAGAAATGAAATAGGCTCTTCAGGGAGGATAATCAAAACTCTAACTGTGTGGATAGTTCTCCATTTTACAGTGTATTTGACCTGCCTGCATTACTTTTTCTTTCTTTTGCTATAAGCACTGAGATAATAGGAAATACCCCTGAATTTCATGACATTGTGGGGCCCAAGCATAGCTCTATGAGGTGAGATTTTCAAAATCAGAAATTAAGAAAATAAAAACATTTAGTTTTATTATAAAAGTATCTCATGCTTATTTTAGAAAATATAGAGATTACCCATACAACTATTAATATTTTGGTATATTTTCTGCCAACTTTTTTTCAGTATGCATCAGGTTGAGAAATTATTTTAACAACTGCTGCCAGAGGTCCTCTTAGGAAAAGAACTGGCAGTATTAGGAAGAAACCTTGCTAAGCCATTTTGAGGTGGAAGACAAAGTGCAGAGTCATGGGTTAGAAGGCGCCAACACTATTTTACAAGCAAAATGAGAATTTGGGAGTGGGGAATAGATGAGAAGAGTGGAAGGAAAAAAAAAAGAGAACAACTGCATAACACAGCAACAATTTATGGGGGAAATGACTGAGTCTGGGGAAGTCTACTAGTGTTAATCAATTTTTAAATTATCTTCTTTATGCAGCTGTAGTGTAACATCCTTCATGGATTCTTCCAACTTCTGGGTTAAGTCTACCACTCATGGCTCTCCAGTGAAAGTGGTATTTTGAAGGCAGAGATCAAGGCGAAATTTTGGTCTGGGACTTAGGTTTGGGCAATGCTGAATGAAGCTCAAGGACAGACTCAAGATTCAGAGGAGAGAAACAAAACCCAGAAGAAGCCATAAAACAGCTAGAGGTGGTTAGGAGAAACTTAAACTTAAGGGAATTTGCAAAACTTTGGGTGAACTTGCTAAAATTTGCATGTGGGGAATAATGGGAGCTTGAGCTCATTTTGGCACAGTGGTTAAGAGCTACAGCTGCTAACTAAAAAGTCAGCAGTTCGAATCCACCAGCTGCTCCTTGGAAACCCCCTATGGGGCAGTTCTACTTTGTCCTATAGCATCGCTATGAGTTGGAATCAACTCAACAGCAATGGGTTTGGTTTTTTTGGTTTGAGCTCATTTTACCTAGTTTCTAAGGCACCCCATGATTCCACATAACTCAGCAGTCTTCTAGCTTTTTGAGGTCATCCTTTGCATTAATATTGAAATGTAATAAATTAAGAAAGATCAAATCCTTTCAATGAAGTTCCCCCACTCAAAATTTACATGAATTTACAGGGGGCTTTCTATCTCTCACCAGCTCTAAATCATTCTGTAGCTTCCTTCACTTTTCAGTGACTTGCATTGTTCCAAGCCGAAGCCCATAAACTCGTAGTTTTTCTGCTTTTTCTTTCTGGCCACATTGTTTCACTCTATTTTGAAGCTGCTTTTCCACATCTCTCTTTCTCTCTTTTGCTAGTTCTCATTCTCTCTATATATATTTATATGCATAGACATATTTAATAGTTTGATTGAGGTATAATTTACATACCATAAAAACTACCCATTTTAAGTGAACAGTTTAATTAATTTTAGAAAATTACACTGTTGTATAAGCAGCATCACAATCCAGTTGAGGAACACTTCCATCACCTCAAAAGGTTCCCTTGTTCCTGTTTTCAGTCAATCCCTGCTCCCATCCCTAGCATCCAGGCAATGGCTGCTCTGTTTTCTGTCTTTATAGTTTTGCCCTTTTGTGGTGGACATACCCTAAGATGACCTTCATAATTCCTACCTCCTGATATTCATGCTTTTGTATAATCCCCTACCCTAAAGTGTGAGCAGGACCTGTGCTTTGCTTTTAACCAATAATATGACAAAAGTGAGGAGATAATTCTCCTGTGCTTGTTTCATTATATAAGACTCCATCTTGCTAGCAGATTTATTCTCTCTCACTCTCCTGCCAGCCTTGAAGAAATAGCTGCTCTGTTGTGAACTGCCTATTCACACACACACACTCAATACCATCGCGTGAATTCCAACTCACAGCAACCCTATAGGCCAGAGTAGAACCGCCCCATAGCGTTTCCAAGGAGCGGCTGGTGGATTCAAACTGCCGACATTTTGGTTAGCAGCCATGGCTCTTAACCATTGCACCACCAGGGCTCCAAAACTACCTGTAGAGAAGAAGGGACCTTCGGGCAACTGACAGCAGTCTCTCATTTCTGCAGCTGTAGGAGGTGACTTCGGCCAACAACCTGAGGGAACTTAGAAGTGAATCTTTCTCCAGTTGAGCCTCTGATGAGACCACAACCTTGGCCAACATCTGGATTATCCAACACCTAGTGAGACCTGGAGAGAGAGAACCCAGCTAAACTGCCCAGACTTCTGACCTATAGAAACTGTGAGTTAAAAAATGTATATTGTTTTAAGCCATGAAGTTTCCGATGCAGCAATAAGTAACTAATATGGTATCCTAGAAATTTAATATAAATGAAATCGCACAATCTGTGGGTCTTTTGTGTCTGATTTCTTTCATGGAACAATGTTTTTGGGATTCATTCATATTATTGCGTATATCAGTAATTCATTGCTTTTTATTGCTAATACTTCATTGTATGGATATACCACATTTTGTTTATTCAGTTAATGGAAACCCTGGTGGCATAGTGGTTAAGTGCTACGACTGCTAACCAAAAGGCTGGCAATTTGAATTCACCAGGTGCTCCTTGGAAACTCTATGGGGCAGTTTTACTCTGTCCTATAAGGTCGCTATGAGTCGGAATCAACTTGATGGCAACGGATTTGGTTTGGGTTATTCAGTTAATGGACATTTGTGTTGTTTCTACTTTTTTACAGTTGTGAATGATATTGTTAAGCTGTAACATTTATGTACAAGTTTTTGTGTATATGTATGTTTTCATTTCTCTGGGATAGATAACCTCGGAGTAGAAATTCTAGGCCACATGATATGTATAACTTTTTAAGAAACTGCCAAACTATTTCCAAATTGGCTGTACCATTTTATGTTCCAGCCAACAATGTGTGAGGATTTCTGTTTCTCCAGAATCTCCCCAACACTTGGTATTTTCAGTATTTCTGAGTTTAGCCATTTTAGTGGATATGCAACGATAGCTCATTGTGGTTTAATTTTAATTTTCCTAAGGACTAATAATAATGAGCATCTTCTATGTGCTTATTTGCCATTTGTATGTCTTCTTTGGTTAAATGTCTTCAAATCTTTTGCCTACTTTTAAAAATTAAATGGTTTTTCTCCTTCTAATTGAGTTGTAAGCATTGCAAGAGTTCTTTATATACTCTGGATGGAAGTCCTTTAACAGATGTATCAGTGAGGTTTCAGTCAGGAGCAGAACCACTAGGGAAGTATATATATTTAAGTACATACACATACACACACACATATGGATTTTCTGCAGGAATTTGGCCTCATGCATGTTACATCTGGGGTTTGATTTTACCCTTCTTACAAGCTAATAAGTTAGCCTGTTACTGTTCCATGGATGTTGGCAGAAGACATAATACTCCTGGGTCAGAGAAAAGGGACCTAGGCACAGCCTAGCACAGCAAGTTGCATGAGTGCCAGAATGTTTGGGCCAGTTCCCCTTGCCCCTTAAGTCCTATGGTGGTGACATGAATGGCCCAGATGGATGCCTACTCATAAAGTGGATTGCTTTACAAGAGAGAAACTTGCCACTTTATAGCAGCCTCTAAACACCCTGTTTTTTGTTTTGGAAGGAGACATTACTTCATCTCACAAGATTACATGCTGCAAATATAACCCTGAGAAATGGCCTGGGTAAAGAGTGGTGAGGGCCTTGCATTCTTGGCATTCTCAGCAAGAACATTCAGGAAAGCTCAAGACCCATGGAGAATTGCCTCTCCCAACAATCCAACCCTTGGCCTTACACATTCTTGGCTGAACTCAAATTTTCACAAGAATATACCACTCCAGTGGCTACTCTTACTAACATGACAAACAGTAGCTGGGACCAAATACATTCAATTAATCTCATATAATATTTAATTAAGGCTATTATTAATAGGACTCCAAGTAGCAAGATGAGGCCATCCTGCTGTGTTGATCTCAGTCATATGCAACTCCCACTTCCCAGGGTCTCAAACATAACCAAATTTGACTAAGTCTCAGAGGGGAGAAATAGATCTTATTTCAGACAGTCAGGATATTTGAAGGTTAGGCCATTATCCATTATGTGAGAGAGTTTAGACTGAGCTGCTGATCCTTGATATCATTGTCAGTAATTATATCAGGCAATAGATGGGTCAAAAAGCAATCCCATCCCCAGTGAAGAGATATTCCATGGCCTCTTCTCCCCCGTATGCAGACATATAACCCAAAGGGGCTCAGGTCACTCCAGTTTGGGCTTTGTTGTTAAGCCTGATTTGAATCTCCATTACACTGATTTGGTTAAGCCACGTGGGCAGTGTCACCTCATGGGCAGTTGCAGCCTCGATCACTATACGTGGCATAACCCAGGACCCGTCAGGCATCAGAAGGAGCATATGAATTTGTACTGGTGAGACTGAAACAAGGTTGTGTTGGAACTTGTGTTTGTGTACAAACAAGGGGGAGGGATCTACATTCTGCAGCTGCCATTGATAGCATCAGGAATAGGGGAATAGCTTAGCATCAGACACGTCCATGTAAATGTTTCTGTCTTCATAGCACATAGACAAGGATGACAAAACCAGCAGTGGATCAGAATGCCACCTGCAACTGCTTGATACAAGCCGACCATATGATTGTTTTACCAGACTATGGAGTTGGGTAAAACAGAGAAAGCAATAATTGCTCTCCTCCTCCATTTACCTCCCAGAGTCTAAGGTATTCCCTTCCCTGCTGAGGTTGTTGCTCTTCCTCCACGGCCACAAAATTGGGGTGTCCCATTCCAGTAGCTATGATTTCATCTTTTTTTTTTCCTGAGGATTTCCTTTTCACACCCAGACCTTTTATCCAGAGAAGAAAAAGGCCATTTTTATAAAATTACAGAGACCCATTGTATCTCCCACCTTGGCCCACTGTATGTTCATTTCTGAATCAATAAATGGTAAAAACCAACCAAACAAAAAACCATTGCTGTGGGGTCAATTTCTACTCATAGCAACCCTATAGGGCAGGGTAGGACTGCGCCATAGAGTTTCTAAGGAGCACCTTGTGGCTTTGAACTGCCAACCTTGTAGGTTAGCGGCTGCGGCACTTAACAACTGTGCTACCGGGGTTTCCAGTAAATGGTAAAGGCAATAGAATTACCTTCAAAGACGGCTTGTTCAACCACAAATTGTTGGCTCCTCTCTCAGAGTTTCTGATTTAGTAGGTTTGGGGTAGGTCTCTAGAATCTGCATTTCTAACAAGTTCCCAGGTGATGGTAATGCTGCTGGTCTGGGGCCACACTTTGATATACACTGCCCTAGACCAATCATGCTGAGGGGGTGGGGGACAAGATTGCCTACCATCTAATGCCAGGGGGTACTCCAGCCAGAGGTAAGTCTCTCCTTTTAAGGAACATGAATTTTAAAAAGAAAATAATTTCAGTTAAGGATGCTAGCTATGAAGAAAAGAAAATCAACATAATGGAAAAGTAACAGGAGTGAGGGCAACATTTGACCTGGCAACATTTGAGCTGACACCTGAGCCATGTAAAAATGTGGCCTTGGATAGAAAGATGGGACAGGGGAAGAGATGATCACTGGGACTGGGCAGAGGAAGGTGAGATGAAGAAAAGTGAGTGGATCGATTCTGGGTGTAATTTGGAGACTGACTTTCTCATATTATAGAAGTGGGAGTGAGGAGATTTGAGAAATCAAAGATGACTCCCCTGTTTTTCACTTGATCCCCTGGGTAGGTGTGATGGTTCTTTTGATGTGAAGGGATTTTGCAGATGTAATTAAAACCCCTAATCAGTTAATTTTAAGTACATTAGATAATCTGAATGGGCCTGACTAAATCAGTTGGAAGGCCAGAGAGAGAGAAAAGAAATTCTTCCAGTGGATGATGGCTTCCACCTGTGCCTGAAGTGTGGGCTTACCCATCATGATCTACCCTTCCTGACTGCCCCCTGCCCTACAGGTTTTGGATTTGCTTAATCAGCCCCCACAATCGCATAAGTCAGTAATTTATACTACGTTATATATATACACATATATATATACTAAATCACACATATATACATATATGTGTATTTAAAAAAAAAACCCAAACCTGTTGCCATTGAGTCGATTCCAACTCATAGTGACCCTGTAGGACAGAATAGAACTACCCCATAGTGTTTCTAAGGAGTGGCTAGTAGATTCAAACTGTTGACCTTTTGGTTAGCAGCCAAGTTCTTAACCACTGTGTCACCAGAGCTCCACATATATGTATATCTATCACCAAAAAAACCAAACCCATTGCCATCAAGTCAATTCGGACTCATAGTGACCCTATAGAACAGAGTAGAACTGCCCCACGGGGTTTCCAGGGAGCAGCTGGTGAATTCGAACTGCTAACCTTTTGGTTAGCGGCCAAGCTCTTAACCGCTGTGCCACCAGAGCTCATGTATGTGTGTGTGTATATTTATGTATATGTGCATGTACACACACACATACACATACACATAATGAAATGGAAAGGATAGGGGGAGGAACAATTCTGTGGGTGGGAGCCAGGAATTCTCTTTTGGACATATTCAGCTTGAGATGGGTTAGACCTCCAAATGGAGAGGCCAAGTAGGCACTGAGCTATCTAATAAATATGAGGCTGGAGACAAATTTGGGAGTTGTAATTATAGAGATACTTCTTTTAAACCATGGACCTCATGAAATTGGGTGTTGTCTTAGTTATCTAGTGCTACTATAACAGAAATACCAGAAGTGGATGGCTTTAACAAAGACAAATTTATTCCCTCACAGTTTAGGAGGCTAGAAGTCCAAATTCAGGGTGCCAACTCCAGGGGAAGGCTTTCTCTCTCTGTTGGCTCTGGGGGCAAGTCCTTGTCATCAATCTTCCCGTGGTCTAGGAGCTTCTCAGTGCAGGGACCCCAGGTCCAAAGGATACGCTTCACTCCTGGCTCTTCTTGCTTGTGGTAATGAGGTCCCTCTTCTCTCTGCTCACTTCTCTCTTTTATATCTCAAAAGAGATTTACTCAAAATACAGTCCAATCCTTTAGATTGTGTCCTGCCTCATTACCATAACTGCCTCTCATCCTGCCTCATTAACATCATAGAGGTTAAGATTTAGAACACATAGGTCATTACATCAGATCACAAAATGGAGGACAATCACACAATACTGGGAATCATGGCCTAGCCAAGTTGACATACATTTTGGTGGGATAGAATTCAATCCATAACAGGTGGGATCACCAAGGGAGAGAGTATATACAGAGA